GCAAATCCTAGAGCCTAGTCCCTTTAATTTGCAGCTAAGGCCATGTTTAATGAGAAGAAGAACCACAGGTAGCCTGCAGAGCCAGGGGTGAGCCAGCTACCCTGGGTCCTACTATCACACTTCTAAGGACTTATGCCAATCCTTTGAGTTAGCACCATCTGCTTTTAAAACTAAAAGTGGTTCCTTTTTCTTTTCTGCAAAGTGAAACACAGCCACTGCTGATCTGCCTTATGAAGTCAGTCAATACAGCTATAAACCTGAAACCAAATCCCCTTTCATTGCAAAAATTTTAACAAATCTTTTTGCACTTACCCTGATAACATTTGAACTGTTGAGAAAATGAGTCCTCAACGGTTGGTGTAAGATCATCTCTTTATTGATTCACGTCACACTTGATAGTGAGTATTAATTATTAAGAAAAGAAACATTACATTATTAGCAACAGGATGCAGAATTCAAATAAGTTCATATTCTTGGAGCTCTTATTTTCCTATCAGGCATTGGTTTTCATACGCATTATCTCATCACATTTTCAAGGACTCTTTGTCCAATTCCTTAGGAATGTCTCCTGAAACAAAGGAATGTTAAAAATGAACTCTCATAAAAATAAAATGGTTGGATGAGAATATAGGAGTGAAAAAGTCTTGGCTATAGCATCAGACAACTTGGATTGATACTGGTCTTCCTATTTATTTATTGTGTTGTCCTGATACTTGATCCAATTATGTTTTACTTCCCACATCTGGAAAACAACACATTAAAAAAAGAGCCTTTGAAGAATCAAAAGGAATAAGACATGTAAAATATGTATAGCGCCTAAAATTGAGATAGTGGTCATCAATGTTAACTAATATTGGTATTTGTGTTATTTTCCCCCTATCTACATGAAAACGTTGCACCACTGTGAATGGGTAAAACCTTAACACTTTTAGTGGATAGGTGATTCAACCTGATCACCTATGGATAGGTGGACCCACTTTTAGTGGATAGTGATTGTTAGTGACCATTTATGAATTTTAACTTCAAGTATCGGATTTCCCTTGCCATTAATTAGAACAGACAAAACAAAACAAAACAAAACGTTTCAGTGACTGTGTATTATTTCACTTCTGACCACATGAGGGCAGCATGGTACCTTTCAAGACAGGATGTAGCCCGCACAGAGGGGGGAAAAAATGGAGCTTTAGAAATCATAGATCCAAAATTAAAACTAGAAGACTCTAATGATTCTCTAACCCAAACTTTCATTTTACTATTGAAGAAATTGAGCTCCAAAGAGGCCAGTTAGTCAATCTCCTGTCACACAATCGCTGTCTATTGACAGTGGAGCAGGGAACTGGTCTACCGCATTATTAGTACCAACAATAACTGCGTTATCAGCGTACTTACTACTCTAAGAGACTCCTTATTATGTCCTAATATCTTGGGTGACGATATTTTAAAGGAAATCAAATAGTTCTGATAATGAATTGACCACAGGAATGTTCCGTTTTGGTGAGAGGGAGAAATAAAAAGATAGAATTCTATTTCTGGGAGACCTAAGTGTGAACTTGAAGGCAGAGGATTGAACTGTATGACTTCTCAAGGTTGTCATTAATATTTTGCTCACAACCGTGTGTTTGTGAGTTACCTTGAAACTGCAGCACTGTCTCTAAGAAGCAGGAGCTGGCAAAGGAGGAGGGCATACCAGTTTCGCCTTGTCAGTTTCCCCATTTTTTAAACCTATTTTTTCTCCGTACCCCAACCCCCAGCCACATAGTCATGCAAATACTACACATTTACAGCCAGAAATATGAAGGAAAAAAAAAAAACAACAAAAAACCAAAAAACTCAGCGGTGGCAGTACCACGGTGGGGGTACTTGGTGGGGGAAGGGTGCTTTAACTTTGCATCCTCAGTCATCGTACCTACTGCTTTTCCAAACTTCACGAAGAAGCATCGGATAATCCGAGTGAATAGAATATGCTTGCTGTACACCCCACTCTTCCTCTTTCCCTCCACCTTCCTAATATCTTAAATTTTGCAATTCTTTCCTTTTCTACCGCATCGTTATCACTCGTATTCATTTTTCCATCAACCTCAAGAATTGGACCCTATGGTGATTCATTTATGTGTCAACTTGACTGGGACACAGAATTCTCAGATCTTGGATCAAACATTGCTCTGGGTCTTTCCGTGGGGGTGTTTTCGGATGAGATTGACATTTAAATCAGTAGACTGCGTAAAGTAGGCTCTATTCCACAATGTGGGTGGGCCTCATCCAATCAGTTGAAGGTGAACAAGAAGGAATATAATAAAATAGCTAATCCTCTGGAGTAATGGAGAATTCCTCCTGCGTGATTGCCTTCAAGCTAGGCTTTAGACTGGAACTGAAACATCAGCCCTTCCTGGGTCCTGAGCCTGCCAGCCTTCAAACAGGAACTTCACCATCAAGCTTTTCTACTTCTTGGGCCTTCAGACTTTGGACTATGTACTATCCCTGTTTCCCAGCTTGCTGACTCACCCTGCAGATCTTGGGACTTGCTACTCTCTTGAATCACATGAGTAAATTCCTTATAATAAATCTTTTTATAAATAAATAAGCAAATGTATTTGGGTGTCTTCGATCTACTTTCAATTAAAGGAAGAGTATCATTGCACATTAATTTACTAATTTGAATAAATAATTAATTTAATAAATAGTCTAATTAATATGAAAGCCCTACTTTACATGGGGCACTGACTTCAAGTTCTCAATGATCCTTAAGGTGCTTGGCATTTAGTGGGGGATTTAACAAACATGTGTTGACTGAATGAATACATAAATTCTATTGGTTATCTTCTGAAAGAACTTTTGTTTCTATCAGAGCTCTAGCATTTTCCCTTCCATTTGTGTGTGAGCAAAATTAAAGTAATTAGCTTAGCACAAAGAAAATGCTTATTTTTTGGTTGCTAGGATACTACCTTGCCCATCCACGAAACTATGCATATTAGGGTTTTAGGCTGAAGGACAAACAGATTCCAAGTATGATTAACATAAAGGAAAGAGGCTTAATATAACAGTGTTAGTTGACAGTCAATGTTAGATCATTAGATTTTCGTTTGATTTAATTTATGAATGCCTATAGTGGCACCTTGACTTTATAGATTCCCGTATTTTACAGATAAGAAAAATGAGATCCATATGAGTGGTTCGATCCTTCGGTCAAGTTTGCATAGTTAGTGAATGAGAGCGATTACTATCAATAAGGTCCCGAAACACCAGGTCTTTGCTGTTTCTTCAGAAGCAAAGTGTTTCTCTTTGTTGGCTTGCATATGCTATTCCTTGGAAACCACTACCATCTATGTCAAAGCTTCCTCAGTGACATGACCCTGCCCGCCATACGGAGCCCACCAGGGGCCATGTTCTCCCTTGCTCACTGGGCACCAGCGTCCTGCTTTTTCTTTCCCCTGTCTCTTGGACACCACAGGCTCTGTTTGCACACGAGAGGCTTTCTCTTATTTTCCTCCAAGCCCAGACATCTCTTCTCCCAGATGTCCACATGGCTGGAGATTCACATTGCTTATTTCTTTGTTCCTTTAGATTTCAGCCCCACAATTCAAGTGGCACGCATCCTGGGAGTCATTTTTTGTTTCATTTCTCTGCTTATTTGCTTCATAAAACATTGAACCATCCAAATATATATATATTATATAATATATATATTATATATATAATAATATATATAAATAATATATATTATTATATATATATTATAT